GGAAAAGACCCTGGTGTTCTTTTGTGTGAAGTGTGAAGGCAAGAGGAGAAGGGGACAACAGAGGACGAGATGGCTGGACAGTGTCATCAAAGCGACCAACATGAATTTGACCAAACTGTGGTAGGCAGTGGAAGACAGGAGGGCCTGGCGTGCTCTGGTCCATGGGGTCACGAAGAGTCGGACACGACTTAATGACTAAACAACAACAACAACGTGATGAGGGAGTCTGTGTGTGTCAGAAACGCAGAAAGCAATGCTGTCAGAAAGCAAGACTGCCATTACAAGCCAAGATTCCTAGCAGGGTCACCCAAGGTTCACAACTGAGGCACCAGACTAGGATGCACCCACCCTCTTCAGTAGTAACAGCTGCATGAGCACAAGAGAATGAATAGCTCCAATGATTAATGTTGTGCAGAAACTTATGGACAGCAGCTACTAAGTAGTAGCAGAAGCTGAAGGCGATGCTGGTGGAGGATCTTTCATAGACTGAATCTGTGAAAATCCTAACAAGAATACGTCAACAAATATGAAACAGACTGGAAACATGCAATATACATTCCAATCCCCAAGAAAGGAGATGCCAAGGAGTCGGATCCTGCATGGGGGCACCCCCCACACTCATGGTGGGTGTGGCACATTTGTGGGTGGGTGTGGTGTGCTCACGCACATGCACGGATGGGAATTGCACGCTTGTGGGTGAGTGGGGTGCGCATGCACACGAGTGCACACCCACCAGCAAGCGCACCTGCTCACCTGCACATGCGGGTGATCGCACCACACCCACTGTGCGTGCAGGGGGTGGGAGACCTGTCTCCATGGCCCGGTCCTGCAAAGCCCATGGACTGGCACCAAGCCATGGACCGGAGGTTGGGGAACCCTGTCGTAGATCACAAGCTAAACATGAGCCAACAGTGTGATGTGGCTACAAAAAAGGTTAATGCTATTTTAGGTTAATGCTATTTTAGCCGCCCAGAGTGGTCGACCAGACCAGATGGGTGGGATATAAATCAAATCAAATCAAATCAATCAAGAAACAAATTAGGCTGCATTAATAGAAGTATAGTTTCCAAATCCCGCAATGTGCTAGTCTCCCTCTATTCAGCACTGGTTAGGCCTCACCTTGAGTACTGTGTCCAGTTCTAGACATCACACATCAAGAAGGATGCTAACAAACTGGAACAGGTTCAGAGGAGGGTGACAAGGATGATCAGGGAGCTGGAATCCAAGCCCTATGAGGAAAGGCTGAAAGAATTCGACATGTTTAGCCTTGAGAAAAGAAGACTGAGGGGTGATATGATAGCACTTTTCAAATATTTGAAAGGCTGTCATACAGAGGAGGGGCAAGATCTGTTTTCGATCATCGCAGAGTGCAGGACACGCAACAATGGGCTCAAGTTAAAGGAAGTTGAATATTAGGAAAAATGTCTTGACTGTTAGAGCAGTACAACAGTGGAAGCAGTTACCTCAGGAGTTGGTGAGTGCTCCAACACTGGAGGCATTCAAGAAAAA